TTTTTAGGCAGTGTTGTCACATTTAGTACTCTTACCAGTCTGACACTGTCTAAACCACTTCCATCATTGAATATTATCCGTGTTTCTACTTTTTTAGCAATCAAGATCTTGGATTATATGTAGATTGGATTATAAGTATAGTTATTAGTTACCTAATAGAAAAAAAGTTGAGTATTTTTGTCACTTAACAAAAAAGTTCCTCTCTGTCTTGTGGAGTCTCCAAGGCGCATTATCAGTGAATGACTGGGTGCGAGTTTGGTACAACAGATAGAGCTGCCGATGGTGCGAAGCCCAGAAGGGGTCTGTCAAAGCTCAACCCCCTTCCTTAACAGGAAAACGTTCCAGTTGTGTTATAAGACGGCACAGCTTCCCCACCTGGGCACCAAAAAGTCTTTAAAGAGAAGTCAGAACGTTTCTTATCAAGAAGCTTGCAGTCGACCTCACCTCTGAAACATGTAACAGAAAGTATCCATTGACCTGTAGATATTAAATTGTGTTCTGGAAGTTTACTGCATACTTTGAAGAAAAATGGAGATCTTCCAAAGATTTTGTGAAATTGATATGAAGCCTTGCATTTTCAACACTCTGAATTGCCCTCACACCTTCCATAGTGTGCGTTTCTGATTCGCTTTTTTTCTGTGCCACCCTCCTCATGCTAGGTCTGGCTTTGCAGAATCCAGCTTGTAGTCTCTGTCGATATTGCACGGCCTGCCACCCCACTGCCATCCAACTCACAGCGACCCTACAGGACAGAGAAGAACCGCCCCTTTGGGTGTAACCAGCCTATAAATCTTTTAAAGGTTGCAGAGTGAGTGATGGGCTCGGAACAATGCCCTTACGGCGGGCTGCTCAGTGTGTAAGCAAGCAGCACTGTGGTTCACCTGCCGCTTCCCCTGGAGGTCCCTCAACACCGCATTCTTTTGCAAATATTTCTTACCTTACTTATCCTGTCATTTGTGGGTCTTCATTCTTCTCATATTTAAAACTAGGATTATAAATTACAAATTAGTATAACTTGGTAGCTGAAAATGTGGTGGAGCACCATATCGAAGAGACTAGAGCAGATGGGCCTATCCAGTGCACTTTCTAAATCAGTGCCTCAAATAACCCCAGGAGTAGGCCTAAATAATGTGGAGATGAAGAAAAGAAATTTTTGTTTGGCTGTATTCATATTGTTATAGTCATTTATTGATGTTGCTTTGAATCATTCTTGTACATTCGTTTGTATTTTTATTATGCACTTATGTATTGAAACAATAATACAGTATTGACTAGTATGATTGCAAAATATACCTAACTTTTTAACTTTTCAACTTTGATATTAGGGGCAAAGTGCTCTTGTTTGTGGATTGTATTTTGATATCCCTAATTATCAAAACTATCTGCTCCTGGACATGTTGTGGGAGAGGCCAGTCCCTGGAAAGGACAGTCTGCTTGGTAAAGCAGAGGGGCAGTGAAGTGGAAGGCCCTGGAGAGCATGGGTTGAAACAGTGGCTGGAACAATGGGCTCAAACATGAGAAAAGTTGTGAGGCCGCAGAGGACCGGGGCTGGTTCTCTCTGTTGTCTGGAGGAAGGCCCGGTGTCGGCACAGACTCCATGGCGCCCACCACACAGCATCTTCTCAGGAAAGAGCTGCAGCACAGCAAGCCACCTGTAGGGTCTCTCTGCATCGGAATTGACTAGATGGCAGTGGGTTTTGTTTTTTAAACTCTCAAAGAAGGTGATCAACAATTTTGAATATTGAACCTACACACAGTGTACATTTTTAGCATCAGTGTTTTAAGTCAGAACAGACTGAATTTGCTTTCTTATTCAGCCTCACTATCAATGTGACAGCAAGCTCATAAAATATACAAGAGCGTTCTCGTTTTCTTCTGGGGAACTAGTTGTTTGGGGAATTGCTTATTTCTCTAACTCAATCCAGGCTATTTTAAAAAATGATCAGAAAGCCATAGTCAATATCGCTTTGCCTATATTTGGACACATGCTTTTTCTTACCTGTTACATCTCTTTTTAGTCACTTTCCATCTTTAAAAGTCACCTTTTAACACAAACAAAGAAAAGCCAAACTTATATCTAGGTACCTTTTCACATTCCATTTTTATCTAGTCATATAAGTAAGGAATCAAATGGGGGACAAAATGTAATAAAAATGAAATTCCTACATTTTTATTATTATCTAAGATCTGAAAAATAGAGCACTGTCCCAAGCTGTACTCAGGAGGAAAAATAAAACACACACAAGATCCTTCATGCGCAAAATCCCCAAGAGGAAAAGCATATGAAACCTATACAAAAGATGACAATCTTCACATCTCCACAAATGCTAGTGCTGCCTGATCTAAATGACTTTTTAAGGATTATGGAAAAAATGCGTTGTCCATATGGACAGGAGGCTTGCTAGCTTCTCATCCTCACTGCAGTAAGAGGGGAAGAGGCAGCAGGTGGCAGCAGCTTCCACTCAAAAACCTGTAGGAATGGAAGCATGCCTCCCTGGAACTAACCTCCCTGGAAGCCAACCTCCCTGGAAGCTAACCTCCCTGGAAGACTAACCTCCTCTGTAGCACTCTTTCATCTATGAAAAAGACGACCTAATGCATAAGCATTACAAATTTTGACCAGAAAATAAAAGGCACTGTTTTGTAGCTTTGTAAGTGGAGAATGAATAACAAACCTATGAAATAAGCTGGTTTAAATCTTTAGATTTTCTCATTTGTATTTTAAGCACCCAGTGCCTCATGCTTCCTAGAATCCTTATTCTGTCCCCCTTCCGTGTTGATGCATTCTTTGGGGTTCATAATGTTATTATGACATACTTATTAACACCAATGTTAATGTATACTATTCTCACTCAGACTAATAGCGACCCTAGAGGACAAGGTAGAACGGCCCCTCTGAGTTTCCAAAATTATAATTCTCTACAAGAGTAGAAAGCCTCTTCTTTCTCTCAAGGAGAAGCTGGTGGTTTTGAACTGTTGACCTTGCAGTTATCAGCCCAACGCATAACCACTTCACCACCAGGGCTCCTAAGTTAAGTGCTTTCTTCCCAATTTTGACGCATAGTGATGTAGGCACCACAGAGCAAAACACCACCAGTCCTGTACCACCCTCACAGGTGTTGCTATGCTGGAGCTCATTGCTGCAGCCACTGTATCAAGTCTTCTTACGGAGAGTCTTCTCTTTCATTGACCCTCTCCTTTACTAAGCATGGCGTCCTTCTCCAGAGACTGACCCCCTGGAGAACATGTCCACAGCTCATGAGACAGTCTCAGCACCCACACTTCAAAGGGACATTCTGTTTGTACTCTTCTAACATAAACGTGTTTGTTCTTTCATGTATCAAGCTCTCTTCCAAAGAGTTGACATATTAACCTGATTTATATCACACAGTAGCTCAATGAATGAAGTAATAATATTGTTATCCCCCCACAGTGAATGGCTACATCCTCAAAAGCTAACTTAAAGATAAACAGTTTGAGGGCAGCAAAGGCTCTGGGAGAAAAATGTGGCAGTCTATTTCCATAAAGATGACAACCTGGGAAGGAGGATGTCGGACAGGGCAAGATAGGACAAAATAATAATTTATAAATTATCAAGGGTTCATGGAGGGGGGAGGGGGAGGGAGGG